AGGCAGGCGCTTTTGCCGCTGAGCTAAATTCCCAGCCCCTAGACACAAATATTTTAAAGATCTATATTGAACAATGACAGAGTTCATGATTATATGCTCATTGTTTCTTTGAAAATACTCTATTCTTTGCCTTGTTCACAACCTTTCAGTATTAATTGCCCAATCAGCTTGATATCTTGCAGTATTTGGTCATTCATGTTCAAAATATTTTGAAATATATCAACTGATTGGTCTGTATTAGTTCATTGCCTTTGCAATGTCTAGTTCAGTGAATACCCAGAAAATAAAGCAGAGATCCTACCAAAAGCTTTCCAGTCACCATACATTGGTATTGGCTCTCACTACCTGCCATAAAAACTTAAATTTTGTGAACAGAGGAAAAACTATACATTCAGGGGGTTATGGCCCAAATTGAGATGGACTGAAGCACCATTAGAATTTTTGGGGTCTTTCTTGAATAGAAGAGAATAGTTTCTTAGTTTAGGACATATGCATGTACCCACCAAAGAGTTTGGATTTTAAATAATTACAAAATATTTCTCAAACTAAGATTTAAACTGGGACACTGGGTATGTTTCTCAATTAAAATTAGTAATATGTTATTTTTGCACTGTTGCATAACAGATCTAGGCTTTGCTCTGTTGGCTCTCAAGGTACTTAGGGGAAAGTAGAGAAAACCAGCAAACTAGGAAAACATTCTAGAATATTTGTAAACAAAGGCCTTACTATCATGTTAGATGAATGCTTGAGGTACATTTCCTCCCTGGTAGAAACAACTTTTCTTATCCGTCTCTAAAGGTTATCTCTTTATGTCTTGGGCTTTGATAAGTAAACTACACAAATATGGATATTTTGAGATAAGAGAATAGTAGAATAAACAGACAGAATGTGTGTGATTCATTCAGTTCAGGCTGCTACAGTGAAATGAGTCTAACTAGGTGCCTTAAACTACAGCCACTTATTTCTCCCAGTTCTGGAGTAAGAAATCTAAAATGAGGGTACCAGTATGGTTAGGTTCCTGGTGAAGGCCTTTTCCTGCTGTCTTCACATGGCCTTTCCTTGGACTGTAGATGCAGAAAAGCACATCTTTTCTTCTTTCTGTGGGGGCCTCCTCTTCATGATTGAATGTAACTCTAATTACCTCCCAAAGGCCTGACTTCCAAATAGTATCACTACAGGAATTAAAGCGTCAACATATGGATTTTTCAGGGACACGGATATTCACGCTGTAAGAGTGAAACACAAATTACCTCTAATGTGTACAGTTACATTAAACTGCTATATAGTATGCTATATGAATGTTTCCATTCATCCTGATAATGCCAAGGAAACTATTAATGAATGTTCAATTACCATTAACGTCAGTCTGGAAGAAAAGGGAACATATAAGCACTCAACCATAAAGACACTGGCTCTTGAGCATAGTGCTCATGAACAGGAAGAGCAAAGACAGTTTAAAGGCTACTGGATGTCTGAGAGCAATAAGTAGAGTTCATCACATTAGAACAACATTGAATCTAAGTGTAGGGCTGGCATCATAGTTTTAGGCTTTGTTTTGTCCTTATTTTATAACACTGTTGCTATCTTATGTATTTTTTTTCTGGTGAAAAATTCTATTAACCAGGGAACAACTCTCAAGATTATCAGATCAATATGTTTTAATATTACTTGAGATATTTTGACCTGTAAAACAAACAAAAATTAGTATAAGTCACATTTATATTAAATTAATACATAATTTGAATTATTTGAAATTTCTTAATTCTATGTAACAATATATATATGTATATACATGGCAAAGGAATCAACTGTACAATAAAGATCTGAAAGAATTGTTTTTATATCCATATATTAGAACATATTTCATTATGTTAATAATTGCTGATGGAATTCTTGCAGGCTCAGAACCTGGATAGACAAGAAAACAATATGATATAAATAAGAGATTTTCTATTGCTTTGTAAAAGCTTGTAATCTATTTAATATTATTATTTAGAAGCTTAAACAATAACCGTGCTTGCAAATATTAACATAGTATAGGCTGCAAAAGCAAATCATGGGTGTAATTTCAAATTTTGAAGAGAAATATAAAATATATTGAAAGGTTTTTTATTTTTTTTTTTTGATGTACCATCATCACCATCTTTCAGTGCACAGTACTTTTTTGTTGTTGTTTTTGTTTTGGGTACAGGGGATTGAAGTCAGGACCTTGTACTTGCCAGGCAGGTGCTTGTGCTGCTGAGCTATATCCCCAGCCATAGTAGCAGGTAATGTACATGAAGATACAGTTTTTATTTTCTGGGTTTTTTTTTTTTTGGTACCGGGAATCAAACTCAGAACCTTGCACTTGCCAGGCAGGTGCTTGTGCCATTGAGCTATATACAATAATTATATATACATATTTATGTAATCAAATACATTTAAATATTATTACAGCATATATTTATTAATGAGATTTTACATTATACTTTTCATACTTTTCAACTTAGTATGAAAAGTCCAATTTTGTTGGGTATTATACACTTACAACACATCTTAAACTGGCATAGACATATTTCATGTCCTGCATTGCTACATGTGGCTAGTGGATTTTGTATTAGCACTGTCCTATAAAAGTGGATTCAGAGTGAAAAGCATTTATTTATTCTTTGTTAACTTCATAACAAACTATCTTTCAAAAAAGTGCAGTAAGATGAATTCTCAATAGAAATAAAAAATGGAATACAGAATTTCACTAGGAATAATACATTACCTTATCACACCAAATTCAAAACTTAAGTGAATAGGTAGCTGAATAAAAATTATTTGAAATTAGTTTTGAAAAATTGAGTGAAACTTTGGTGGGAAGGTAAAAATGGCTTTTAGAGATCTGTGAGATTTCTCATGTTCTCAATTTAATCAGAAAAGCAGTCACTAGATTTTTAGACATATTGCAAATTTCACTGTAACTATATTTATAGAGTTGTAAGCACAGTTTTTGATAAAAACTCAAAATATTAAGATATCTTCATGCTTTCTCAATAGATAGTACTGATTTGAAAATACATATATGGAAATATCTACATTTATATGTGTATGTGTGTGTATTCATATAGGGTCTTAAGCAAGACATTTGAAAATACAGAATTATTACTATCCAAACATGCACAATAAGAGAATATTCATTGCTTAAGATAAGAAAGTATGCAGGAAAAGTCCGAGCATAAAAAAAACTCTTTTCTCTTTCTTTTTAAACCAAAGTATGGTAACCAGTATGGCATTATTCATGATATTTACACATTAGTGGTTTTATGAGAAAAAAATACCATACATAAAATAATTTAACTATTGATAGATTTTTAAGTTGTGTGTTCTTGAAGTATTTTTGCTTCTGATAATTTTCTAACTGAGAAAATAAACTTCAAGAAGGCTGAAATGAAACTTTAGGTATAAATTCTCTTTTTAATTGTGTTGTTTGGAAAAGTATAAAGCCCTTTTCTGCACTAGTCCATCAATATATACTCATTGAAATTTTCTTATATTGTCATGCTAATTCAGAGAAGTTGGGGGGCAGTTGGGATCATGCAGAGTTATGTATGCAGGGTAATGGAAAGCTTTTTCTCTGATTGAGATAGAAAGCCACTGATGCTTTCTATCAGTGAGTAGAAAAGTGATATGCACTCATAAAAATAACTGGCTGCTCCAGTGGAAATAGATTCAGGTGATCAAAACCTTAAGAGCAATTACACTCTTGCTAAACCTGGAAGAAGATGGTGGCTTAGGTGAGGGAAGTAGCAGTGGGGGTAGTGAAAATTGACTGGCTTATGGATACATTTCGAGAGAGAATCAGAGGTCTCCTCATAAATTAATATAAAAACCTGACTTATCTTGTGGTAAGGCAAGGATGCAATTAGGATTATTGGTCATAAGACTAAAAATATGAAATTACAATGAATTGAATTTGAGAGTTATTTTAGGAATGAGAAAAGTAACTAATACACCTAATTCTCAATAACACATTGTCTTAGTTACTTTTCTCATTGCTGTGACAAAATACCTGACATCCAAAGTTAAAGGAGGAAAGGTTTATTTAGCTTACAATTTGTTAAGGTTTCAGTCCATAATTGGCTGGCTTTAAAGCAGGGTGACTTGGTGGACAGTCATCACAGAGGAGAAAGAGTTCATGGCACACAGAAGGTAGAAACACAAGCAAGGGAGGGCCACAACTCTTGCTATTCCTTATATCATACTCAGGCTACTTAGGGCAACTAGCACTTACAACTTTAAGCTTAGTGCCTTAGATGCTAGAATTATAACAAGAATCAATCCCAGCCCCACACACTATAGATCCAGCCACCTCTGGAAAATCCCCACCTATGACTGCATGAGGCTTTGGGGGGCCATTTAGACACAAACCATAGCATTCTTTCCCTGTCACCCCAAGACTCATGCATATCATTTTATCCAAAAGGCATCTAGTCCTATTATAAGAGTTGTCAAAGTCCTAAGAATTTCAGCATTGTGCAAAAGTCCAAGTCCAAAGTCTCTTCTGATATTTAAGGCAAATTCTTATCTAGGAGCCCCTGTACAAGTGTCAAATTTTTTTGTTTTTTGTTTTTCTTCCGGTACCAGGAATTGACCTCAAGACCTTGCACTTGCCAGGCAGGCACTTTGCTGCTGAGCTAAATCCCCAGCCCTGCCACTATACAAATGAAAAGAAAGTTAAACACTTACATTTACTGGCATAAGATAGATGTTACCATTCCAAAAACACAAATATAGGAATACAAAGGAATGGGACCTGAGCAAGTTCAAAATACAGCAAGGTAAACGTGAAGTTCTGTAGTTCCATGTTCAGTATCCAAGGCAACCTGTGTCAAGATATGAAGTACATAGGGCTTGGGTGGCTCTGCTGCTACAGTAATTTTGGTGATTATAGCTCCCACAGTTTCTTTATTAGGCTCACTGTGCTCTCTCTGTTCAACTTTCCTTCGATAATCCATGTTCCTGGCTTCTCCAAAATTCTGGAGTCTCCACTGCCCCTTTGGCTTGACATTCACAGCTTCACACACTGTCCTCTCAGCGGCACACGGCCTGGCCTGCCAGGCCTTCTTCTAAAATCTGGGTGGAAATATTCCTGAACCCACAACTCTTTCATTCTGCATGCACCTACAAGAAGCACCTCATGGATGATGCCAGTGTCTGCTGCAAGTTGGAGCACTAGCCACACTTCCTTCTCTCTTGACTGTTGGGTTAGATCATCTATGAACTAAATCCTGAGAAACAACTTCCCTAGACCAACTCCATTCTGGAACATTGTGCTCTGGGTTTCTTTTATCAAAGTAAAGACTTTCACTTTTGCAACTCCAAGACTACAAAAGCTGGGGTCCTGATCATTCCTGTGATGTCCTCAGACCATTCTCTGTTGTCTTCTTCTGAAATATTTGGCCTTTTATTGCTAGTAACCAATTTCTTTTCTATTCCATCTTTGCAGTCCAAAACTTTACTGGAGCTTCCTTCCTGGGCTTTTTGCTCTTAATTCTCAACATAAAGCTTGCTAAAAGCCCCCAAACGGTAGCCATATTTCATAATTTCTTTTATCAGATTAGTTATCTGGCCTTAATTTTAGTCATAGGTAAAGTCTCTGGACACAAGCAAAATGCAGACAAACTTTCTGCCAAAGTATAACACATTGTCTGGAGTCCAACAACCAATGTAGTTCTTCTTCCTAGCAGAAACCTCCATGCCTGGTCTTAACCAGAATGATTTCTCTCAGCCTTCTTATCTTCTGAGCTCTGACTAGAATCTCCCACCAGTCTAAGAGATTCCATTTCTAAGCCTAAGAGATTTCCATTCCATTTTTATCTAGCATCTCTACATCTTTGAAAACTCTTCCCACAAGGTAGCTCCAAAGGCTTCTGAACAGAATGGTCACGTACAGGTATAGTCACAGCAACAGTCCCACCTCTTTGGCACCAAATTCTACCTTAGTTAGTTTTCTCTCACTGCTGAGATAAAATATCTTCCCTAATAGGCCTGGATAAAACTGGCAGAAAGATACTAGTAAGGTTCCATTTTGCTTTGTGGCCTTCAGCTCACCTTGAACTGTTTCTCTTCTGTGATGCTACCTGCTTCTGAGCCAGCTGATTATGCAATGAAACTTCTACAAACTGTGAGCTAAGTAAACCTTTCCCCCTTTAACTTTGGGGATTGTGCATTAGTGAAAATAGCTAAGACAAGAAGAATATAAACAAAGTAAAATTAGGGTGTACTGGTGAGAGGACATGAAGTGCATTCATTTTAGAGATTCAAGTTTGAGATGCTATTCAGATATCTGGGTAGAAGTGTCTAAATAAAGATATGGATAGACAAATCAAGAGTTTAGAAACATAGCATCTTCAACTTGTACCCAGATTTTTCAGCCACACTAGAAGAGATTGCTAAGGACATAAGAGTAGAGAGAACAAAAAAAAAAAAAAAAAAAAAAAAAAACAACAACAACAAAAAAAACACTTAAGAATTAACCTGTGAACAAGTATTGTTAAAAATTCAAAGAAATGGTGAGATTCCAGGCAACCAGACACCTTAGGACCATGCCACTGTGAGACATGTGGACCAGGACCAGGACATGATACTCTCTGAGTTTTGAGACTTTTACATATGAATCCTATAGAGAGTATACTTCCTGTCTCTTGCTACTCCAGTGAGGCAGAGGTACTTGTTTCTCTGAACTAGGAAGTTCATAAAGGTTTAACATTTAAGCCAGTTCTCTCCATTGACATCTGAAATGTATCAGTGGCCTTACCTTCTTTATCTTGCTTTGAGTCCTGAGTTTTATTTTCATTCATATTTCCTTCCTCAGGAGCTCAGTATTTAGATGTCACTGATAAGTCAAATTATCATAATTTCATCCATTTTTCAACTTTTCTAAATATATACAGCCAGAATGCAGAATATGAAATAAAGGGGAATGAAGGAACTTTGTTTAATATGTAGAGGAAATAGTATCTATGATCTGAATATAACCTCCAAAATTCACATTGAAGTTTAATTACCAAAGTGATAATATTAAAATCTCTTAGAAGGGAATTATGTCATTAGGGTAGTGCCTTCAGGAATTGGATTAATGGCTTTGTAAAAGAAGTTCTAAGGATCTGTTTGTCTCCCTTTTACTTTTTATCTCTTAAGCCAAGTAAAGACACAGCATTCATACCACCAGAAGAAGCAGTGATCAAATTAATATTTGGAGGGAAAGAAAGGACTCTCATCAGACATTAAGCCTGCTAACCCTTTAATCTTAGACTTTACAACTTCAAGAACTGTGAACAATATATTAATATTCTTTGTAATTGTCCAGTCTGTTATTTTGCTATAATATTGAGAATAAACTAATGTTTGAATAGATATCACATATTATAGAGAAATTTACACCCTTCTTAAAATCATCCAAATGATTGAAGATTATGCATTGGTGGTATAGTGTTTAGTAAAGCTGCCTTCCAAATGATTGAAGATTATAATTTTAATATGTCACCTTTTATGCCTAACTATGTTAATATATTATTGAGCTGATACCTTGCTGCAAGTGTTTGGGGCTTTTCTACCATCATGTATTTTCCTCCTCCTATAGATATCTCGAGATTCATAATTATTTTGTATCCTGGAGAAATCCCTAAAAATCAATTTCCAAGCAGTCCACATTTCATTCTGTATGTCTGAATTTTAAATACCTGCAAAGTATATTTTTTTACAACAATCGTATGTTTAGATTAGGTGGTTTCCACACTAAAAAAGCCAGTAGATAAGATCTTACAGTTTATCTAGAGTAGATCTGACAATTGCATTTATGAAGAGAAATATAGCATATTGAGTATTTTCATCTAATATTTCCCTAAATGATATATTTATGTCTATCAAATCAGTTTTGCCAAATGTCTTAGTTACTGTTAAGGTTCTCTCATTGCTAAGACAAAATGCTTGATACTCAAAATTAAGCAGGAAAAGTTTATTTAACTCACAGTTTATGGAGGTTTCAGTCCATAATTATTTGACTTCAAGGCAGGGTAGCATGGCTAAGGGGCAACAGTTCATGGTGGCAAAAGACAGCAAAGCAGCAAGAAAAAAAAGGGACAAAGAGCAAGCCTCTTTTCCTCCCTTATAAGCAGGCTGCCTGTCCTGTAGATGCCCTCACACCATCTCCCTGTCCTCTTGCACGGGCTCAGAATGTTTACAAAGTGAGGTCATGGCCCTCTGCTGAGTCACTTAGTTAAGATTCTAAACTTCTCAAGCTGACATAATAAATCAACCATAACACCAAAATAATTTATTTGAGATATTAAAATGCTAGAACAGAGCACAGTAACAAAATATAATCTCTCTGGAATGCTGGGAAATAAGAAACTTGCAAAACTACAACCCAGTAAAGAGAAAAAAAAAATAGAGCTTTAGTTTCTATTGGATTATTGAAAGAATTAGTTAATGCCTAATTGTTTGATCAATTTTGCATGCCTATATCTGGTAATCTGAACAACTACTTTGAAGAGAACAATACGCAATATAGCAACCATTGTTAATTTCCTATCATCTTGGTTTGGAATTCTGTATCATTTTATTGTTTTTTTTTAAATAAAAACTAGAGCTTCAGGAATCAAAATAGGGCTGACAGGCAAACTAGAAACTACAGAGACACTGAAGAAAACACAGAGAAAAAAATGAAGAGGTATAGAACATTAACCCTGGCTCCGGAGAAAGAGGTCTTTTCTCTGCAAACACAGCATAAGCCTAGTGAGGGTTAGCAGCTTAGGAAGAAAGAACAGACCACCAGCGTGAGCCCAAAGAAATTCCACAACTGTCAGCTGCAAATACAGAATGTGGTATTATTGTGACAGTGACTGCTCCTAAGTGGCAAGCTACAGGTGCAGAAGAATCTCACTGCAGTGTCTGCTATCCTTGGGAGTGATAGCAGAAGCCATCTGGGGAGGAGGTATGGCCTTCAAGACCGAGCTACTCCATGAACCAAAAGGCATGAACAATTACACTGTAGGGTTCCTACCACAGTGCTTGGATAGGGGATGGCAACAAGAGACAGCTGGAAAGAAGAGGTGGTCTAGCCTTAGAGCCCCCAGGAAGTTTAAGTAGCAGCACGCTCAGGTTGTGAAGAATATGGAACTCCAGTCCTCTGTGGTGAGAAGTCAGGTTGGTATGTGGATGTCTTAGGGGACTGGGTTTGAAAGTGCTGACATTAAATCCAGCAAACTGCCGCCACCCCCATACTGCTTATTCCGCCAGAGAACACAGTGGTGTGCTTTTTTTTGCTATCTGCCAAAGGTTTGAGGATACACTTTGGCTTTGAAAGCTGCCAGATTCTGAGATGTCTGGGAAGAAGGGCCGCTGAAGCCAGGGAGACAATTCACAAGCCCACATATCATAAAGCTAGTAGGAGATAACAATGACTTGGGATGCAGGGGTATACAGGATGGCACAAAAACAAGTGCCACTGGAGTGAGTTCAGCTCTAAGGCAGATACCGCATGATTTTAGGTTTTTTTTTTTGTTTGTTTGTTTGTTTGTTTTGGTTTTTTTTTTGGTACTGGGAATCAAACTCAAGACCTTGTGCTTGCTAGGCAGGCACTTGTGCCACTGAGCTATATCCCCAGCCCACCGCATGGCTTCTAGATAACTAAAAAGCAAACAAACAGAACTGAAACAAACCTCAGAGTTCTAGGAATAAAGGAAAAGATAGAAAATGACTTAAAATGTATATAAAATTTAATCACTGAAATTATAGCAGAAAAATTTTCCAAATCTAGGAAGATTATTCAATATTCAAGTTCAAGCAGAACATAGAATCCCAGATAGCCATGACCAGAGAAGAACCTCTCAGTGGCATGTCATAACCAAATCAGAAATTCAATCAAAGAAATGCATACAAGGGTTTACAGGAAATTCAGCAAACAACCTGTAAAATCAAACCCATTAGAATAACTATAGATTTCTCAGCACACACCTTAAAGGTCAGTAGAGTTTGGAGCAAATTTTTTCAAGCCCTAAAAGAAAACAATTTTCAAACCAGACTTTTATATACTGCAAAATTAACCTTTAAAATTGACAGAGGAATAAAGACCTTCCACAACAACAACAACAAAAATCCTAGAGAAATCTATGACCACCAAAACAGGATTGCAGAAAATATTTACATGAGTCCTACACAGAGACAGAGAGGTCACCAGCACCAAAGAGCCCAAAGAAATATATATTTCTAGATCACTAATGAGCCCAGTGGATTATACTTATTCACTGCTAGTGGACTTGCAAAATGGTATAGTCAGTCACTTTGAAAGATAGTTTCTCAGTTTTTTATACAAGTAAACACATTGTTAGAGTATGATCCCATATTGTTTAGTATTTACCCAAATGAGTTGAAAGATCTGTGCACATAAAAACTTTGAACACAAATGTTTGCAATAGACTTATTCATATATCAAAAACTTAGAAGTAATCAAGATGTTCATTACTTAGTAAGTGGGTACACAAATTATCATATATCCAATCAATAGTACATAAATACAAAAGGAGTTATTAAGACAGAAAAGGAAATGGAAGAATCTTAAATCATATCTCTAAATGAAAAACCTAATATGCCAGGGCTGTATGATTTCTAATGCATGATGTTTTGGGAAAAATGAAACTTTGGAGACTATAAACAGATCAGTCATTGCCAAGACCTTGGGATGTTTTAAAAAGAGCACAGGGAATTGTAGGACAGTTAAACTATTATTATCTTACATGGTGTTATAATGGTAGTTACATTTCTTATATTTTTATTAAAATCCATAAAATGCACACCTCTAAGAGTGAGCCCCACTGTGACTGTGGGTTTTAACTAATAATAATAATATCAATATTGAGTCATAAGTTGTGACAAATATAACACACTGACATTAAAAATGGAAGGAAAGTGGGAACAGAAGGTATATGAGAACTCCAACTTTTCACTCAATTTTTACTATCAACTTAAAATGTCAAAAGGCATGTCTGTTAAGTGAAAGATACATGCAGCTATTACCATGTCTCCTTGAGATAAAAACAGAGTGAGAGATTGGGCCCCAGAACTGTCATCGTCTTACATTTGAATAACTACTTTGGAATACTGCATTAATGGATATAGCTATGACTGTTTTTTAAGTGGGTGATTATTTTTTATATTATTTCTAACACTTGATTATTGAAAAACTCCAGGCCTTCTCTGCTGCGATATCTACAATAATCATTAAAGGTTCCAGCATATCTAGCTCCATTCATTCCTGGGACCATTGAGTTCCACTTTAGCAGGCCTCAAGTAGCAGTTCTTCCAACAGACAGTGAACACTAGAAATATTAAAAAGGTTGTACATTAGTGACTTAGGGTTCTAGGTCGTAGAAATAAACCAAATCTGAGAAGTACTATGATTCCCTGATTCCCTTGTTGAACTGTTCCCCAATTTGTCCACTTTGTATCTAATTACCATGGTCTAGAAACCTCATTTCCATGCCTTCCAGCCTTCTCAGAGCCAGACTAACCTCAGACATCAGGGTCATAACTCGTATGACTACACTGAGATTTGCTCTTACACGCTATTTTAGTCCTGCATCTTTTGTCCTATATTGAGAATTAACAAAGGGGAGGGGAGAAGTTTTCCCTTATGTTTTAATATCATCCCTGCTGCTACCTGATTCACTGAAAGCCATGAAGTATCCATGCCAATGCTTTCAATTCAGATTAAACTTCTTTATGAGTAAATTTGTGTTGAACATGAATAAATTGAAAACTTCTTAAAACAACGTAAACAATTGGATGAAAATTTCTGGATAAAATTCAGACAATCTGTATCCAATAATTTACTGACATCTAAGCTTGTAGCTCATTTGTTTTGCCATGTACTAATTTAGCAATTCCATTGAAACTCAACTATTTGTTATTATTTGTTCTTGGTGAGCCTTTTCCTGTGTTTTATTTATGATTTCATTATCTTCTACATGAGTACTTTTGTATATTTAATTCAGAGGCTTTACATTAAGAACAGTTAAAGAAAATACTTTCATCTGTATTTCTTTTTAAAATAAGATTATAATAACATGTGCTCTACCACATATAGATCTTCACAAAACACAAGTAAGTATGAATATTTTATTAGAACCACTTATGAAGAAATAGCAGGGCTCCGAGTACACATACATTAGCAAATTAATCTACCAAGCCATATGCACAAACTCTTTAAAGTAGCTGCAGATAAGAGAGGAAAAAAGAGCACAGAGTTGCTCCCAGAAGACAATGAATTTATTGCTACCACTGAAGATTTCAGCTAACATATATAACAGTAACAAAATATAATATGAACTGGAATTTGCAGTTGCACCACATGCTATTCTGTAGCATAAGAGGTAGAGACAAGGCATTAGTTGGTGTTTTCTCATCAGGCATTCATTCCCTCATTCAGAATACACAAGGATGTACACCACAGAGTTACTGAGAATACAAAGTGGTTACAACACTGCCCTTAAGTTTCCCCAAGCCAGTGAAAAGAACTAGTATGCAAGCAACAAACGCAACGCACTGCTCTAGTGGACATCTTAAGATTGACTAATGGAATGTGAGACTACAAAATCAGACACAGTCAATTTAGCCTAGAAAATCACTCATTGAGAAGCAAAGACTTAATGTGGTCATAAAGGAAGGGTGCAACTTTCCAGGTTAGCTGAGATAATGCTATTCCAAATAGCAGGAATACTGTGTGCAAAATGTAAAAGTAAGGAAATAACAGGATGGGATTGAAGTGAGGGAAGTAAACCAAGTTACTTAGTACATGGGTAGAATGTTTGGTGGAGAGAAATAACTTTGAGGGAAGAGATGGAGAAGAGTGAGATCCTAAGTGATCAAGGTCATCCTAAAGCTAAGAAGTTTAAATTTTATCATAAGACAAATGTGTGGCATGGAAGGGTTTTATGAGGTGCACCATGGTGGAATTTGCTTTTCAGAGCCATACCCTGGACAGTGGTGCAGAGGTTGGGTGATGGGTGGGG